TACCCTCCTCCAGGGGATCTTCTTGACCCAAGGATGGAACCCAGGTCTCCTGCATTGCAGGCAGATATTTTAGCATCTGAGCCTTAAGGGAAGCCCTAAGCCTCTGTCAGGGGGTATATTAATTTCTTCCTTCCTGCCATCTACAGTTGGACAGAGTTCTAAACAAAGACACTTTAACAGTCCGGTAGAGGGGCAGGGTTCTCTAAGGCAGGCCTTCAGGTATAATTATAAAAACAAAATCACTCAGGATGGGGAACACAAGTACACCATGGCTGATTCATGTCAATGTATGGCAAAACCCGCCACAATATTGTAAAGTAATTAGCCTCCAATTAAAATTAATTAATTAATTAAAACAAAAACAAAATCAACAAAAGCAAGTCCAAGAAACAGTTCCAACATGGAGTCAGAATTGGTTTTTGCCTGTAACATTATTATATAACAGTAATATATTAGCATATAAATAGTTGAACAAGAATAAAACCTAGGTTTCCACTGTTTTGGAGACAAAGTTCCAATATCCTAAGCATGATATAAAGTTCTTCACAACGTGTCTTCAAATTCCCTCATCATTTCCTATCTCCAAATTACTTTATTGTTACTTTATATACACCAGACATTCAATCCACACTTCTTTATGCCTCCGAGTTTATTCCCTCTGCCTGGAATGCCTTGCCTCCTCCTTCTTCACCTGTGAACTACTACCTAGTCTTTGAAATTCAGCTCAGAGAACACTTCCTGTGTGAGGCTTAGTAGTAGCAGTGGTGGTGGTGCTGCTGCTGGTAGTGACGTGTCTCCTTGAGGGAAGAAGCCATCTCCTATTTTTCCCTTATTATTATTTTTTAAAATGTGTGTATTTTTGGTTGTGCTGGGTCTTCGGCTGTGCAGGGGCCAGTCTCTAGTTGTGGTGTTCATGCTTCTCATTGCGATGATCTCTCTTGTTGCTTCACAGGGGCTCTAGAGCATGGACTCAGTAGTTGAGACACTGGGGCTTAGTCGCCCTTAGTTGCGTGTGGAATCTTTCCAGACCAGGGATTGACCCCATGTCCCCTGCATTGGCAGGGGGATTCTTAACCACTGGACCACCAGAGAAATCCTTTTGTAATGTTATTATTTTTTAATTGAAGCTCAAGAAATGTTCAACCAATGAAGGAATGAAAAAATGAAAAAATACAGGGATTTGGAGAAAGTTACCTTGATCTCTGAGGCTTCCAGGTGGCTCAGTGGTAAAGAACCCACCTGCCAAAGTGGGAAATGCAAGAGACACGGATTTGATCCCTGAGTTGGGAAGATCCCCTGGAGCGGGGCACGGCAACCTACTCCAGTATTCTTGCCTGGAAAATCCCAAGGACAGAGGAGTCTGGCGGGCTTCAGTCCATGGGACCCCTGTAGAGTCAAAAGAGTTGGACACAACTGAAACAACCCAGCACACACACATGCCTGCAGGCCCGCACCATGATTTCCTTATAGAATGAAAGTGAAAGTGAAAGTTGCTCAGTCGTGTCTGACTCTGCGACCCCATGGGCTATACAAGTGTATGGAATTCTCCAGGCCAGAATACTGGAGTGGGTAGCCCATCCCTTCTCCAGGGGATCTTCCCGACCCAGAAATCAAACTGGGGTCTCCTGCATTGCAGGTAGATTGTTTACCAACTGAGCTATCGGGGAAGCCCTTATAGAATGAAAATGAATCAAAGAAATAGATATATCTTACCAAACCTGGACCTGAAGTGAGAGATTGCTGGGCCACTGATGCAGATGAAAAGACAAAAGGGCATTACAGTGAGTCATATACCAACTTCGGTCCTAGACCAGAGTGGGAGGGGACATAGGTCAACTTTTTGAATGCTGAAGCCAATGAGAGTCATAAAATCACCTCCCTTCAGTCCCATTACATTTCCATACCTGTTTTTCCTGTCCAGAAGCTTGCTTGCCTCTTTCTACTCTGCTCTCTGTAGCAGGTGACTTCTAGATTAAAAAAAAAAAAAGCCAGTACATAATACTAAACTGGAAATGAGGAAAATTCTGATGTTTTTGACTTGTCATTTATCAGCGTCATAGTATTGAGAAGATTGACCATTATTCATTTTTATGATGAGTAGCTGATGAGAAATGAAGCAATGGTTTTGCTTAGAATACCTTTGACTAAAGAGTACCATTTAATAGATGGTACTAAATGGTACTATTTAGTACCATCTGCTAATGGTACTATTAGCAGATCATTTGGAATTTTTAAAACCCTTTTATTTGGAAATAATTATCTGTTCATAGGAAGCTGCAAAATAGTGCAGGGATGTCCCTTGTGTACTCATCCAGTTCCCCACAATCATAGCATCTTACATATCATGCCATCGAAACAAGAAAATTGTTTTTGGTATGGTCCATAGACTTCACTTAGATTTTTTTTTTTTTTTTTGGCTGCACAGTATAGCATGTGGGATCTTAGTTTCCCGACCAAGGATCCAACCCTTGCTCCCAGCAGTGGAAGACCAGAGCCCTAACCACTGGGCAACCAGAGAAGTCCCAGATTTTACCTTTTTCTTTTTTTTTTAAGATTTTACCATTTTTATATACATTCATTTGTGCGTGTGCATGTGTTGGGGGACAAGTGATTCTAAGCAATCTTATCACAAGTTAGATTCCTATAATCACTATCACAATCAAGAGAAGGAAGTAATCCACCTCTCAAAGGTATTTTCTGTTCTGCCTTTCCTCACTCCTCTCCCCATCCTTTGGAAATGTTTTCTTTTTTTTTTTTTGCCTTATATTTGATATTTCTCACTAACCCCTACAAAAGGAGATGTGTTATCCCGTTGATTCTTGTGCTATTTTGAATGCTGGAAGTAGGAGCACACAGCTAGGAAGTGAGGGGATCTTTTGTGCCCCTAGCAGGAAAATCATTAATAGTAACACAAAGAGGCCTCTCAAGAGACAAACTTCTTATTCCTATAATTGGCAAGTTTCCAGGAAAATGTACATTAGCTCCGACTAGATGAACACTTGGCATGGCACCAAAACTGATAGGAATTCAACAAATATTTATCAGGCAAGTACACTGCACCAACAGGGGCAATGCATGCCACAAAACATTCCTAACAGAATGTGAAACAATTCCCCATTTGTCCTGGAAAGCAGTTGCTTTCAGGTTAGTAAAGCTGATTGCAAATGGAAAGCAACAACAACAACAAATTAGCACCACTTATTTGGTTTTCCTATTTATGATTTTTAGTTTATATCTTCAAGCAGAAGACAAAAGCAGACTTAAGTGATGGCTAAAATTATTCACCTGAAACATCACTGCTAAAATGTCCTCTTCATTCCTGCACTCCCACAGAACGTTTCCACATGGTCCTTCTCAGTCCTGTAAGGCTCAACTTTTGAGGGGAGGGAAAGGTGCAGGGGATAAGTAATAACAACAGTGACCAAATGGTGAGTGCACTCACCTTGGTAGGAGCCATGGTGTTAAGAATTTTATTTCCAGTCTCTCATTTAATCCATATAACAACCTGGTGAGATGTGCTGTTTTATCATCTTCATTCTACAGTCGAGAAAATGAAGTTCTAGAACTTAACTGCTTTGGTTAAGGCCAGTCAACTAGTGAATAGAAGACATGGGACGTGAACCCAGATTAGTAGACCACTGGTAGGGAGTCTTGGCATTCATTAGGTCTGAGATGTGACACAGAAAAACATGTGACACACAATCCCCAGTGATTCTGATGTCCTGATTCCTTGGAGAGCGTTGCTAGAATTTACTTCCTGCAAGGAATGGGGTACAGACATGGAGAACTGATATACTTATATGAGCAATGCTGTCACTTCATAAACAATGTTAAATGACTAGTGGATTTTGCCTATGCTTTGGATGAAAATGTGTTCTTAAGTAGTTTCTGCATTTGTTCATCTAGTTTTCAGCTCTCCGGACCACCATCACAAGCCAGAGAAAGTGTTGCAAGCTCTTCCACCAGAAGAATTAAACGACCCTGTAGCCATGGAGCACAAATTTAGTTACTCCCTATTTTGAGGTGCATGGATTCTGGCCTAGTTCTCTATTTAAAGCTTTTTCATCTATTTTTTTCTTGAAGAAGGAAAGAAGGGAAGAGGAGAAGAACAGAAAAAAATGGGAGAGATGGGGGAGGGGAAAAGGAAGCAGGAGGGGAGGAGGAGGGGAGGGACTAGAGGGAGGAGGAAGAAGAACTAAGAGATAGGGACTCTGGATGGCAAAACAATAAAAATAAAGATATATAGAAACATTTTAAGGTTTCTCTTAACCTGAAACATATTTTTACAAATATAGGTACATGATCGGACTTATTAATAAAATGTTCTTAATAAAATCTAGGGCTTCCCTGGTGGCTAAGGGGTAAAAAATCTGCAAAGCAGGGTTTGATCCCTGTGTCTGGAAGATCCCTTGGAGAAGGAATGACAACCCACTCCAGTATTCTTGCCTGGGAAATCCCATGGACAGAGGAACCTGGCATGCTACAGTCCATGGGGTCTCAGAAGAGTTGGGCACAACTTGGAGACTAAACAGCAACAACAATAAAAATCTAAAGACTGTCCTCTGAGAAATGAGTGTGTAAATAAACATAAGAGGTAATTTGGCATACACAGGCCTAACAGAAGACCCACCAGATTTCTTTCATTCACAAAAACAAAAGGGGAAAATATCTCAGATCATACCTGATTTCAACACACCAAGCCAAATGACTAATAAACCGCCCACAAGGAATGAAAGTATTTTGAACTAGTCATTCTGCAAATACGTATTATAATTTCCACATCTGCATAAAATTGTGCAAGCAGAAATACACCTGACCTTTTATTGAAAGGAGGAGGAGTCACATATCCCGAAAGGGTTGGGACCGGCCTGCAGTCCCTGGGGAACTTCCTGTTGTCACGGCATGGGGTTAGTTATCTAAGCTCTGAGTGTAGAGGCTAAGACTCTGGGAAGAAAATCCTTCTTCTTGTGAAGGTCACACACATGGGCTCCACTTTCTGTATGCTGAGATTATACTTCCTCCTCAGTTTGATGTGCTTGGTGAGATCAGGTAAGTCATTTATTGAATAGTTTTCTTAATTATTTAAAATACTATTACTGTCATTTTATCATCCTAGTTCCTTCACTAGACTTTCCAAGTGTCATACAGTTATTTATTTTTAGGAAAGAAGATATGGATTAACCTTTTTCTATTTCTGAAAAGACTTTCTTTTTCCTCAGTAGTAAAAGAAACTATTATTCCTTTCAATTAGCCTGTTCTTCTGATGTACAAAAATGAAATATGCTGAAAAATCTAGAGTAGTGTGGCTTTCTTTCATAGTTAATTTTTCTGTGATTTTCTACTATGAATTAAGATCATTTATTTCCTGGAGTTTAAAATTTTTACTTTAATATCTATTACAGACAGTGTAGGTTTTTATAGCTTTCATGCATCAAATGTTTATTTAAATCATTTTCATTAAACAAACCCATGATTTTATATGTGTAAAACCTCTTGAAATGGTGTCTGGCATATTGATAACTTAAAATTTTTGTACTTATGGGCATACATACATACATACAAAATTATTAATCATAATGAAGAAATAAAAATTAACACAGTAATGTTTGCAACAAAGTAACAAAAATTAAATGAAAAAAATTTTTAAAAAGCGCTAGGCACTTCTCAGCTTTTTAGAAGTCCATTACTTTTTCACATAGTTTAAGTAATGTAGGTTGGTATAATTTTTCTGATGGGAAGTATGTTATACATTAGGACCCATAAAAATGTTCATGTCCTTTGAACTAGTAAAACCATTGCTGAGAATTTGTTCTAAACAAATATCTTGTAAAAGAAAAAAAAGAATCTTTTATACAAAGATGATTCTAGGTCATCTGTAATCTTGAAACTAGATACAGCAGAAATGTTTCTACATACGGGAATGGATAAAGTACAGTGTAACAACTTTTAAAAATATGTAGCCTTCAGAGATAATTCTGAGGCTATGCAGAAATGTGCAAGCATGTTTATAATATGTCATATTATTAAAAAAGTCAAAGAAAGCAGAACTCAAATTTGTAGGTAAACTAAGATTACACCTATACCAAAATCATATATGTATGCCTGTAAATAGTTTCAATGGGAAATGGAAAAAATTATTTGTTAGTATTTCAGGCTTATAATAAATTTTTTTAAATTTGTGCTTTTGAAGTTGATTTAATAGTAAGTTAAAATTAAAATATTGATAATATTTGGAGAGGGAGGTGGGAGGGGGGTTCAAGAGAGGGGACACATGTACGTTCATGGCTGATTCATGTCAATATATGGCAAAAACCACTACAATATTATAAAGTAATTAGCCTCCAATTAAAATAAATAAATAAATAATTATAAAGAGACATTAAATAAATTAATTAAATTTATTAATTAAATTTTAAATAAATTAATTAAAACAAATAAATTTACAAAAAACAAAAAATAAAATATTGATAATATTTTAAATTGAGAGGTCACCATTTTAGAGTTTGTGTTTATCATAATTTTTTTTTTAAGTAAAATAGATTTAGAGATAGCTTAAGGGGAGTGGGAACTAACCTTAACACAAGAACCTGATGTTATTTTGTGGGTACTTTCTTCATGTCTCCCATTATATATTTCAGTTACAAAGTTGGAACTAATTTTTTGTGACCTGCCTTTTTTAAAATATCTTTTTTAATTTTTAAAATCGAGTGTAGTTGATTTACAATGAATCTACCTGGCATGCAAGAGACACAGGAGACTTGGGTTCAGTCCCTGGGTCGGGAAGATCCCCTGGAGGAGGAAATGGCTACCCACTCCAGTCTCCTTGCCTGGAAAATTCCATGGACAGGGGAGCCTGGAGGGTTACAGTCCATGGGTTCGCAAAAAGTCGAGCAGGGCTAAGCGACTAAGCCTGAGTAAGATAGGTTATTATAAGATAGTGAGCATAGTTCCCTGTGCTGTACAGAAGGTCTCTGCATATCAGTTAACCTCAAATTCCCAATTTATCTCTCCCCCATCTGGTAACCATTGACCTGCCTTTTTGCGTGCTAAGTCGCTTCAGTCATGTCTGCTTCTGTACAACCTATGGACTGCAGCCTGCCAGGCTCTTCTGTCCATGTGATTCTCCAGGCAGGTTCTTTATCACCAGCTCCACGTGGAAAGGTTTTCCTTAACATTACCTCATCAGTAAAGTCTTGCTTTAAGTCATTCCACAAGACCCACTGCTACCTAATTGAACCCAAGCAGATCAAGACATCACGATAAACTTCCATAGCTAGAAGGAAAATAATTACAGCTGTAAGCTAAATCCAGTCTTCTTAGTATCTGCTAAACCATGATCTGAGAACTTTCATGGGGGAGGATATTAAATAATAAGTAGAAATTATCAATCACAGGTACATTTACTTATTGTTTTTCCCCTTCTTGGCTTGCAGTCCAAAATTGAGCAAGTGATTAAGATGTGATTCTGAAATCCCAAGAATACAAGTCTTTTACTTTCAGAGATTATTATTTTGTTGCTCTAACCTTCATGAAATCATGATGGGAATTTTGGCTATACTCTTACCAGTGTACAAAGCAATGGCTGGCAGACTCTACCAGAATTATTTGTGGAATTTGTTGAAAATGCAGACTATCTCCAGAGATCCAGACTCAGTGGGTCTGGGGTGAGGGCTGGGAATCTGCATATTAAACAAATTCACAAAGCTTTTCAGCTTGCAGGTGTTTCAAGGAACAGAGGCTGATAAATGTTATAAATTTAAAAAAATTTTTTTTAATTTTATCCTGGACTATAGTTGATGTACAATGTTGTGTTCATAAGTAATTTTTAAAGTTACCCTGCTATCAAAATTTTGACCTATAGCAACTTGTGCAAAACTGGATAGATATTTTCCTAGAGAATACCTTTGTGCCTAATCAGAGAAAGAATTATCTCCTCAAATATAGGAAACTCCCTTCAGAATGATTTATAACTCCATGTGTGTGTGTGTGTGTGTGTGTGTGTGTGTGTGTGTGTGTATGCACGCCGCTTTGTGACTCACCTGTCTCCAGGAAAACAAAGGTTACTAAGGGGTGGAGCATGAAGGTGCATATTTTTTGCACATGATTATGAGATAAGAGTAAGGAAATTTGGCATCTCATTTGTTTTCTGGATTATATCCTAAAGAAATTCAAGCTGGTCGTTAAAAGCAGAGACATCCTTCCAACAAAGAAGGCATTCAGCCCATTTTTTTCTTGCCTGTCTCTGCCAGTATAGAAGAGAAACAAAGATATTCCATCAATTTTGGCCCTGGCCAACTGTGAACCCATCTCAGTCTGGCTCAGGATGGATTTTTAATGCCAAATTCAGTGTTGTTCTCCACATAAAAAAATATAGACTGAGTTACTTTTCAGATTAAAAAGAAAAAATCAGTAGAATTTCGTTGTAGGGACATGTCACCTTCCCCTTCCACTTCTTTCTTCAAAGTAGGAGTCCAACTCATTTTCTAATTTCTCTGAGTCAAAATTTCTGGACCAAAGAGATGTTTATTTCTGAGACTTTTGGAAGTTCCTGCAGAACAGTGTTTTTAAGCAAGCTTAAGAGTGTGCTCAAGTATGGGTTTCTGGAAATCTTCTGGCTCCATCAGCCAACATGTGGTGGGCTGTGTGTCCTGTACACTGACTTGGCATCCACTGCCCAGAACGCAAAATATTCAACAGTGTATTCCTTCATCTAGGTCTGAAGCTCAGCATTTTTAGGTAGAATCGAGTCAATATACCTGTCTGCGGACCTCTGTTCTAAAGAAGTTATTCATACACATTTGCGTCATGTTTAGAGGTGGGGGGAATGAGGGCTGGAGCACACCTTGGAACCCAAAACTTGAGAGGAAAGAAGTGTGAGTCAGAGCCCTCGCTGTTTACTTCCTGACTCGATATGGTGCATCAGGGTGAAATTAGGTGGAATTTCACTGCTGTCACGGGGGTTTGGAGGCTAGTGAACTGAACTTCACCAATCATGGGTCTGAGAGGAACTGACACTTTGACTTTTAATAAGCTGACTCGGCCATATCGAGAGGTTTAATAGGAACCTGTCTTTGCTCATTGGCCCTCATAGAACCTCAGAGCCTTCTGTCCTCTTGCCCCACTCACAATTGCTTCACCGGTGGGGTATTTCTGCCTACAGTTCCATCATCTCCCTTCACAGACACCTCTTTGGATGTGAATGAGGAGTTTCCTCTTTCTGTAGGAGTTTTCCCCAATCAGACACGTGGGAGCTGAAATCAGTTCTTCCAAAGGCAGGTAGAAACGAAAAGCCAGAACTGAGCATGACCCCAAGATAGCATGGGCATTTAGCATCAAGGCAGTGTATCTTGTGAATACAGAGCCAAAGGATCCCTTGGAAGTTTATGTCAGAAAGGAAGCGAGGTTGTCAGTGATCAGTCTGAGGGAATCACACTTTTCTATCCAACCGAAACTCACTCAAAATAAGCCAATCTAGGGAAATAGATTATTCCCTGTTTTGTTTTTGGTTATAGCCTAAGGAAATATAGCAGGTGGATAAAAATAAGAGATATCTTTCCAACCAAGAGGACATTTTATGTAACTAACTCAACTTTCTGTGGTAAAACAAAATAATAGTTATATTTAGTCCCTAAGGCTGAGAATAAGAGTTATTTATTTTGCACAGAAACAGCTAGCTTCAATCACTCCCCAACTGCCAACAGACTGACCAAAGTCAGGGCTTTATTTAGCCTGCAGTGGTAGAAAATGGAGGTCTGTCACCCTCAGTTTCCAAGGTGAAAGAAAGCAAACTGGAAAATTAGGAGCCTGATTTGACTGTGACCGAAAAATGAAATGTCTGCCCAGTCACCTCCAAAAGAATTTTTATCTTTTTTTCACTCTTTAAAAAAAAAAAAACAATTTTATCTATTTATTTTTGGATGTACTGGGTCATCGTTGCTGCTCGGGTTTTTTTTTTTTTTTTTCCCTCTAGTTGCAGCAAGTGGAGGCTACTTTCGTCAGCGTGTGAACTTCTCATTGCAGTAGCTTCCCTTGTGGAACACAAGGCTCCA